ATATATAATTATATATTAATAATATTTTCAATGTTCGCCTTTAAGCTTATGCCTTGTTTTTCGGTATGGCATGCCTCTGACTTTACTCAAAAATTGAAAATTAAAATGCTGTTTTTTTTGTTATTTATATATAGGGCTTCAACTATACGCTCAATAGATGGTATATTAACGAAAAAGACTTGCCCAGTTACGTTCCTGAAGGCACTTTTCAAACCACCACTGAATATAAAATCGAAAAGAAAAAGGCATTTCGCATTTTGGTACGTGGCAGAGTTGAATATTAACAAATAACAATAAAGCTTTAGATAATATAAAAATTATTCGTTCAGAAACAAATTTTAATTCTTATTATACCAGCAAGTGTCCGATTAGGACATACCCTAAAATCTATGCACGGCTAACATTTCTATGCTGAGGAGACGTATTGAGTCTGGTTTTGATGCAAAGTTATTCACATAAAAAACAAATATAATTATAAATAATTAAAATTACAATACATTTAAATTTAAAAGCATAAATGGATCTCAAATGTAGTAATTTTAGAAATTTTAATGGGTCTGTAAAGCATGGCTACCCTGTTAATAAACCATTAACAATTTAACATTGCTATTACTAATGGCATATAACAATAACATTGATAAAAGGCAAACCTTATATAGCGTAAGATCGTCCTCGTAATCAACGTGAACCACGCCTCTTCACAATAACACCATCTTATTTTGTTATTAAATTATGCATATACATAAATTTCTTGCCATACAAATTATTAAATCTTAATCGAAAAATTGATGATTATTTAAATACATATAATTAATCTGCGGACTCAATCATGGACACATACAGATAGAAGAATAATGCATCTGAAAAGCGGCCGATTGATAAGCCTTGATGATGCTTAGCTTTGCACCAAAAATTGACCTTGGGACGGATAGACCTGGGAGTAATACAGACAATATTACTAAAGTAACCTACAATATTTAAACTGCGGACTCAATTATGAAGACATACAGATAGATAATCCAATCACGGCGAAGCGTGACTAGATTTCGATTTAACACGTACAAGTGGTGCATAACGTTTAAATTTATAGTATATATGCAACATGATTTTCTTTTACCTGCAACCATGAATATCTCTATTCTAAAGACCTTCTATTCTTTGTCGTGTGATTTATGTTATTATCGCGTGTCTCTCCCATTGTCCCCATTCGATGTTGACATTTGGCGAATAGTTTACTTCAGGATTCTTTCAGGGCAGGGCAGGCGAGCATCTTGGTTAACACATACTAAGCTTAATACAGTCAAATGGGTAAAATGGGTAATATGGGTATCTTGGTTTTACTATAATTCTGAAAACTTATTAATTTACATAAAGTATTTATATTATATTGTTRTTATCTTAATCAATAATATAGTAGATTTTGCATTCTCAAATTACTATTTGCTGACCCCTTGACATTCTGAATATATATGATAGATTTTTTTCAATTTTATTGAAAATCGATCTATACAGTTACACAAACACATGCATACAAATGAGAAAACTTTTACGTATTCCATAAATATAATATATTTAAATACAATTAGGATTGATTTGATTTACAATTTGTTAGGTTATCATTTAATGACTGATATATTGTAGTAATTTGAAGAGACTTTATGACTTTATGCTAGCGAAAGCTCAATACGAGTCGTATCGAAAGTGAATATCATATATTTTTTTGGATGAAATATTTAGATCTTATGTATTTAGGTATATAAGCAAATCTGTATATAAGTGCGTAGATTCAAGCCATATAACATGTTTGAAAATACATATAGACCTGGAATATACCATTCTTTCACGTTTCTTAAAGCATCGTTAACACTAAATGCTATATTTAAGATGTTAATCAATAATATATTTCGATATACTCCATCCCAGAAATGCAAGAAATCGCCCTATTCATCCTTAAAAGTCGTTCTCATTGCACCTCATATTATCAGAGTATCTGCTAGTCGAGCACCCCCGCCTCTTGTTTGTTTCCTTCATTTTTTCTGTAACGCTATTATGGAAAGCTGAAAAACTTGATTACCCGTGCGCTAATTTAGTTGCACGCGAAAAACACGCGTAATCAAAAACGGTTTGCTGAAGTACCAAACGACCCACACTGCTTTTCCCACTTTCCACTTTCCACACGGCACACTCCACACTCTACACTCCGAGTGCTGTGCTTCGCCCCTTGCACCTCGGCCCCAGGAGCTGCGAGACTGCGAGTCCTTAACCCATACGTTCAGGTTTTCAAATTGGAGTTCATAGCATGCCATGTTTGTGCCCACCTGCCTGGCTGACTGCCTGCTTGCCGTCGGGGCGCACAACAATTTAATTTATATATGGAAAGGGTGCAGGTGTGGGTGCGTGTGTGTGTTTGTATTTATTTTGTAGCCAATGGCTGCGCACAAAAAAGTATGCAATATATTTTTAATTTAAATCAAGCCAACGCCCTCCTCTCATGCAAAGCGCGTCAATTTATTAACATATGAGTGCAACACTCACCTCTGTTTCAACTGCGTCACTCCGCTCCACTTTCCGCAGTCTTGGTGCAGGCTCTATTCTAGCTGATTGGCTTTAAGCATGGCGCCGTCTTCCCCGGAGTCTCTAAATTCGATTTTTATCAACTGCAAGGAACGAAACAAAAACTATTTTGAAATAAAATTCAATAACAAAGTGAAGGTTGATAGCAAGTCAATACACAAAAAAAAAGAATTATTAAATAATTTTAGCTGGAATTTAAAGCACGAAAGCTTATATAAAATACCTGTAAACGATTCCACCTATTATATTTAATTGAAATTGTATAATATATAAATAACATCAATAAACAGGGTTTACTCAGAAATATCTATGCGCAGTTTATGCCATCGATGTATGAAAGAAGTATAAAACGGAAGCGAATGGAATAGAATGGAATATCATTTCTTTGCACGGCTCAGAGTATTTTCCAGACGAGCAACACTCTGACTGGTGCGCAGTTAATTCCATACGTCCGCCATCAAACAGCTAATCATTGTAAACCGATTATTTATTTTATTTACGACTGAAAGCTATCAAATTAATCAAACATATTTCGCGTATCTTGTTTACTCAACTTGTATTTATAATTTCATCGTATAAATAATTTGGGAATCTTTCTACATTTCAACATTTACTGAAGCAGGACCTCGTCCAGGTTCTTATCCATTTTCACATCTTTGCAGAGCGCAGCGATTTGTTTGCTGGATTGCTCCATTTCATGCTGCAGTTTGGAGAGGCTGATCTGTATGCGTGCCAGGCGTAGATCGCCAGCTCGCAGCCTCAGATGCTGCTTGGTCGTAAAGTCCGTCGCCTGCGGTCGATTGAAGTGATCGCTGTTGGGATTTGAGCTGAAGTCTGAATTCGAATTTGAATTGGTCCTGGAGCTCGACTTTCTGTTGTGCGGCTTCCTCACATCGGACATTGTAAAGCTAATAAAGTGACTAATTTAGTTAGAGCGAGCAATAGAAGGCGAGAGAGTAAGAGAGATGGAGAGAATTTTTAATTGAAGACACAAAGTGTATTGAATTGTTTGCTCAACACGTGACGCATTCCACAACGACTGCTGCGAAGCATATAATGAATGAAAGGGCGCTGTGGCTGTAGCTTGTAGGTGGGAATGAATGCATATGCATGTGCACACCAAAGCAACCCACTGAGCTTTAATTACAATTAACCGCAAATGATGTTGCGACTGCGGTTTTGGCCTTGCGGTCAAAGCACAACATGAATATATTATTAGTGTGAAGCAAGCAATATTATAAACTGTAAAAAAATATACGAGAATATGGGAGAAAAGCTGTACACCAAATTTCTATATCTCTCTAGATTTGTTATTAATTATAAAAATTTTATGGCATCACTATGAGTGGAACAGGAATAAAAGCAAGTCAGTGCAATCGAAGTTTATATATTATTTTAGTATATTTAGTAGACAAATGCCGAATAATAATATATTTAGTATATGCACACATTCTTTAAAATAATTTTAAAGATATATGGAATATCCAAAAAGCATTACAAAATGCCTAAAATGAATAATTCGTAAAGTAACAATTTATTTAATGTCCTTCGATATACGAAAAAAAAAAAACACATACACACACAATATACTCATTTCAATTTCGTGAATGAGTATAAAAAGCAAAATTTTAATAAATACAGTTCATTATTTATCTTCCCCTCTCACTTTCTCATTCTCATTTTGTCTCCCTTTCTCTTGAATCCGCCATTTAAAATTGTTGAACCATACGCAATTTGAAATATTTTTCGCAAATTCTTCGATCGAAATTCTTTTTCAATTAAATAACAAACATGATTCAAGGCGAATTAACTTAATTAGAGTGCGCGCGCAAATGGGAAAATATAACTCATGGCACTTATATATAGGGTATACTGCACACAAGCACACAGACTCACCGACTCATATACTTGTTTATATGATGTATGAAGTAATCCTGACCCCGTCCTCCTGCGGCTCCTGGCGAATACGAAGCGCGTCGACTTGACTCGAGCATGCAATTAATTAAAAATACATGCAGACATTTCAGACCCCTTCGCCGTTCGCCGTTCGCCCTTCGGCCTGACTGGGCAAAAATATACGAATATGTGGCTTTAATTTGACCGCAGAAAGGACTCGGCCAGCACATATGTATGCGCACATACCTATATATACAATATATCCATATGTACATGTATATATATGGATATAGATATAAGCATATAAAAGGAGCACTCTGAAGCAACGCTAAATGCATTAAGACACCTTTTTCCCGCTCCCCCTTTGGCTATACTTCCCCTCTTCAGCTGCTCTGTGCGTGCTGCACGGTCAACATGTGCGGCTCCTGGCGGATAGCTGCTCGTAAACACCAACATCCCCGCAAGGACACCAAATAAAGTTAAGCAAACACAGGCATTATGTGCAAGAGTGTTGCTCTTTCTACTACTCTCTACTACTTTCCTTTTTTCCTGCTTTCTTAGACCTTTCCCAAGGATGTACAAGCAGATTACTGCCCCCGGCTATAACTTTATTAATCAAGTACTACGGCACTCATATTGATTTTCTTCCATTCTAGATATATTTCTATTATGCCTTGACTGCGTTCTTCTCTAAAATACCCTGTAAAAAAATATGAAAAGAAAATCTGCTAATTTATCTGAGGATTTTTTTAATGGTTTAAAAGAGATTCCGAATCTGTTTATAAAAGTTAATAATAATTTGTTTGAAGAGAGAGGAAGGAATAAAATAATCTAAGGTACTGCATCATATAATTTGCAAAAACTTTAACATAATTGCTTAAGTTGGTCATGAAATGCCAGAAATGATTCAACAGTTTATTGCGGTATTAGAGCATTTAGCTGACTAAGCTATTTCAGAATTAAGAATTGACCACAATCATTAAATTGAACAGGAATTCAAATTGAAGCTTGTTTCCTTGTCTTTCCTTGCCTTTCCAAGGAACTCTTTCAGGAAATTCTTCCAACACCAAAGAGATATTTGTCTCTCTCGCTTTACTGTATAACAGAACACAGGATATCTGCTAGTCGGACTTTACTGACAATTTTCCTATTTTTTCGTCCTTTCAATATTTGCACCTGATGTTTTTGCCTTGTCTTGCGGACATGCCGCACAGAGTGTCAAATGCCATTAAATGTCAACTAACAGCAGAGCAGAGGAGCTAGTGGTCCGGTTAGATGGTTGCGGAGTGGAAGAGGGAGCAGGACTGGCACCAGCTACTGATTGCCAGTAGCAATTCCAGAGGCGGGAAGGAAAGGAAGGAGTCAAGTGGGCATAGAGGAGGCTAGCGGATATTTCACTTACCTTTTACCATTGTCTATAGACAAGTGGCAAACGCTCTGAAAATGTTTTGACGACTCTGGCAGGTGTAAGCGATTGTGACATACACACACCCACACACAGATATAATGGAATATATACACTACATATTTACTACAGACTAATGTCTATATGTATGCGTGTATAGTGTGGTTGGTACATAGGAGAATGAGGAATAAGCCGGCATGTGTCATGGGTGTGGCAAAATCAACACCAGAAAACTTATCTAAATAGACGAATAGTGGCTGTTCAAATATTATCGAGCTGATGATGCCTCAAAAAAGGAAATAGAAAACAAAAATAAGAAAATATGAGTAGAAGAGCTCAAGGCTTATATCAATATATAGAATCAGGTGTTAAAGTCTTGGCTGTTCTCAAAGTCCTAGAATCAGGTATGTGTAGTATATGTAGTTTACAATATTTTTAGGCTAACTTTACGAAAAGAAACCAACGAGGGAAATTTTAATCTCAGCCAAGTGCTTATCTAATACATATACAAATATACAAAAAATATTATTCATTTCATTCAAGCATTTTACTTTTCTGACTTTTCACAGAAATACAGGCTTAAGTTTTACAAAAAATAAAACTTTTAAACTATTATTTATCTTTTTTTTTTCAATACTGTTCCATTATATATATCGGTTACTAAAAAATAAAGGATAGTGAGAGCTATAAATAAATTCAAGACTTGACAAGAGTGCATACATTTGGGTATTGCTCAATTTAGGCATATTTGAAATTAACATGAATTATTATTACTTATATGATTTTCCGAATAGCAACACTAATGACTCCATCCCTAATCTTGGGCTGATGAGGCAGCGCGCTTGCCAAAAAATCTTGTGGCAATAATCATGATGATAGCGCGGGATTGAAATCGGCACCAAATCTTGTGGCAGGACTTAATTGAATGCATGCTGAGCGAGTTGCTAAACTTAGATGGCATGCCGCAGGGGCAGTCGCCGAGTTGCACCACGCGATGATAAACGAGCGGGTCGAGTCGAGGCGAGCAGTGGAAAACAAGCCAGCATTAAGCCAAAAATAATATATATTATGTATACATATATGTATAAAGTCTAGCACAGCATAAGCAAACAATATTTATGGCCTGCTGTGTGGGAGTGGGAGTAGAAGTAGCACAGCAGATAGAGCTGATTTAGAGTCTACTGGGGCAGCAGCTCGAAATGTTTTGGCAACGAAGCGCTGGCTTTAAGACATATACATATACCTATACATATTTATGTAGCCAGTCGAGAGAATAATCAGGCAACACCTCATAAATTAACGAGCCAAATGCGGCTTAAATATATTTTTAACAGTGTTTAGGCAACAAGCATTTTGGCTGACAGGACAACAGTTTCTCCTCTTGCTCAATTCAGTTTGATATAAAGAGACTTCATATATAATGTTTATTTTTTGTATACATGCATATATAATATATTTTACATATATCTGACACTATTAATTAATATTAATAGTATGTATAATTAAATTAATTATAGTCCATTTCACTCATAAGAAGTTAAAGCATTGACAGCTATCATTCTGTCTCATATGACCGTGTCCCCATTATTTAATTGTCGTTTATTCGTTAACTTGAAAACTAAAGCATTATAATCATAAAAACTCTGATACATTCTGCTTAAATTCCATCATAATATATCCCAAATAATTGAAGTAATTAAAGGAATATTATAAAACAAGTAAAAAAGCTCTAGTCGAGACTGCTCGACTACGAGATCCCCTGAACCCTTGGAGTAATAGCTATTTCAATAATTTTTTGCGTCTTTCAGCTTACACAAGAAACACGCACACACACACACACACACACACGCACGCACGCACACACAGGCATACATACACACACATACATACACACACATACACACACACACACACATACACAAACAATTACATACATATACACACACAAGCATAAACACGCATGGGCGGCAGTGAGCGCTTACTATGAGAACTTAATTGCTTAATAACTTTTTTTGTGGACGTACGATCTTCATGAAACTTTCAGATTATGATTATAACATGGATATGCATGTAATTGCCAAAGCACAAGTCTCTAGTATTTGAAATACGCTTTTTACAAAAGTGAGGGTGAGGGGGTGAATTTAAGGGTGGGGGGTAAATTTTAACAAAAACCGAAATTGTATAAATTGCATATAAGCATACATTAAAAATTTGGAGACTCTAGCAATAAAGGTGTAGAAGATATAATTTTATAACTGGTTTTCGATAAGGTTTTTTATCGATAAAAAAAGATCGGGATGAGTTATCGATTTTTAATGATAAACTTGATATGCGCGCTGTAATTACGGACATTT